CGTTCCTTTGGGTGTGTCCCAGGTGATGTCCCGGGAGACTGAGTGACCCCCCGCCCGCGGCTTCCTTCTCCACCCACCCTAGGCCAACCACAGGTCCGCGGTCAGCTGAGGTCAGCCCCTCTTGGACCAGGTCCTCTCCTGGTCCCCTGGACTCAGTGGGACTGAACTCTGTGTCCCTGCAGGGCCAGCGTGGGCGGGACAGGGCTGCCCGGGGAGAGGGGCTGTGCGTGGGCGCGGCGGGAAAGGCCCACCCGGCCTCTCACTCCTATATCCACCGCCCTTTCCCAGGGCCTCCCACAGTGGGTGCTCAATTCGTTTCTTTCGGGCGGGGTTGGGGTGGGCAATAATTATGACATTAACATATGTAAATACACCCTTAAAGATTCTGTTTCCCTGCCTGATGGGGACACCTGGCCAGGAGGTGCAGGTAACACAGAGTAACAGCTCTGTCTCAACCAAGTCAGGGACAGAGAGTTAGAAACGATGAGAGAGAAACATCGATCAGCTGCCTTCGGCATGTCCCCCACTGGGGATCGAGCCTGCAACCTGGGTATGTGCTCTAACCGGTGATCAGACTGGTGACCAAACCAGTTAGAGCCTTTCTCTTATTATATATGGATTTGATTTCAGCGAGGAAGGAAGAGGGAGAGAGAAACATCCATGATGAGAGAGCATCATTGATCGGCTGTCTCCTGCATGCCCCCTACTGGGGATGGAGCCTGCAACCCGGGCACGTGCCCTTGAGCAGGAATCGAACCCTGACCTCCTGGTTCATAGGTTGAGGCTCAACCACCGGCTGGGCCGCAGGACCTCTTCGAGGTGGAGTTGTGAGGTCCTGGTTGAGGATGCGAGTATGGGAGGAAGAGTCACCTGTCACCCCCTCCCCCCATAGACACTGAGAGTTGGAGAAAGGCATAGAAGCTGGGGTGTGGGGGGAGCCGGAGGCGACTTCCTGAGAAGTGAGGTCCAAGGGCAGTGTGTTGTTACTGGGCACAGCGGCTCTGGGCCCATCACCCCAGCCTCCCCCGGCTCACGGCAGCCCCGGGAGCCCCGAGCCCAGAGCGGCAGCCAGCCTGCCCAGGGAGCAGGTTCTGAAGCCACAGCCCCGTCTCCTCCCGCCCCGGCCTCCCCCAGGCTGCCCCACACCGGCTGGAAGAGGGGCTTTATTTGTACGTGTTGAATTCCCGTGGTGGCCGGAGGACAAATCGCCCGCCCCGGCCTCAGCTCCGAGGCTGCCCACGCGGTGGGTGGTAAAGGCTGATCTGGTTTAGATGCTTTTGGGGAGCGGCCGGAGGAGGGGAGGGGGCGCAGGGGAGGGAGCTTGGAATGTGCAGTTTACAGGATCCATCACGGGCGTCATCACTCCTCTTTCAATAGGGTCGGGGTCGCTCAGCTCGCCTGTCCCAGGGACCCAGCACACAGTGAGAGGCCGTCCCTGTCCTGTCTGTTCCCTCTGTCGCCCGACCGAGCAATGGGGGCGCATCCACGTGGGCTCCCCTGTCCTGGGACAGGACGTGGCTTTGGCACCCAGCTGATCTGAGCAGGACTCATCTTGAAATGGAGCGAGAGACAGAAAGGGATTGTAAAAATCCCAACATCTGTACGATTGTTTAATCAATCCACATCTGATTTCACCATTGTATTCTTTATTTTTCTTTAAAATATTTGGAGCATTCTCAGAAAGTTATTTGTGCTGTGTCTTTAGGGAGTTGGTTGAAATGTAGTACATTATCTATTCGTTATTATACAGCACAGGGTCAGGTTTTATTTTTAACATATTTTTATTGATTTCAGAGAGGATGGGTGAGGGAGGGAGAGATAGAAACATCAATGAGACAATCAGTGATCGGCTGCCTCCTGGCTGCCCCCTACTGGGGACCAAGCCCACAATTGGGGCATGTGCCCTTGACCGGAATTGACCCGGGACCCTTCAGTCCGCAGTCCAACACGCTATCCACTGAGCCAAACCGGCCAGGGCCTCACCATTGTCTTCTAAAACACTAGCATAGAACTTGGCACAGAGTAGCTGTCCAATAAATATTTGTGGAACAAATGGTTTCACCAGAGTGATTCTGACCGGCACTGTCGTTCACAAAAAGCGAAAGCTGCAAAAATTAACAAAAGCGCACGTCACCTTACTCCCATGTTGTGTCAAGACTTCTGAACCCCAGAACCCCTGAAGGCCGTGGAACTGTCTGTAGTAGCTCCTGTACATCTACACCAACCACCCTGGGTCCCTGGGGTGTGGGCGAGTTGGCAAAACAAAGGACAACACACCCGGCCGGTGTAACGCCCTCACTCAGTGAACATCCCTGGGGCCACGTCCAGGATACACACGCTCCACGTGACATGGTTATTTATTTTTCAGGTTTAAAAGGTTTCTAAATACATAGGCACAAGCGGAATAAAACAAACTCCACTTAGAGGATCTGTGTAGGGCAGGAAATATAAATACACAAGGTCTGTTTAGGAGAGGTAGAAACGGTCGCGCCGTCACATACACAGAGAACACGGGAGACAGGCGGGCAAGCTGGGCCACCCTGACAGAGAGCAGTGACCGGGAGGGACTGGGACCGAGCCCTAGACGCCATCGCAGAACCTCTTGCCCGGGCCTCCCGGCGGCTCCGCCTTCCTTTTCGCTGCTGTGCCGTGTGCTTCTACATCGCCGGCCGCAGGCGGGTTCCCGGGCACCTCCTCGTCACCCTATGGAGGAAAGCCCGAGGCTCACACCAGCGCCAGCGCCCTGCGCTGTCACCCTCAAGTGCCTCCTTGCTGCCTCCTGCACATGCCTTTCCCTCCACCGGCATCTTTCTCAACCTCTGTATGTTTTCTCTTAAATCCTCACCCGAGGGTATTTTTCCGTTGATTTTCAGAGAGAGTGGAAGGGAGGAGGAGAGACACAGAGAGAGAAACATCGAGGTGAGAGAGTCACATCAGTTGGTTGCCTCCTGCACGGGCCCCTGACCAGGGCTGGGATCAAGCCTGCCACCGAGGTACGTGCCCTTGACTGGGACCGAACCCGGCAGAGCGCCAGGGCCGCGCAGACCCACCTGCTGCTGCCTCGCGTGCTGCTCTGTCCACCGCCTGGCGTTACTGAGGAAGACGGGCTTGTTGTATTTGAACTCTGAGGACTGAGAACCAGAGGGGGGAGTGAGTGGAGGGAAAAAGGACCCGCCGTGGGGAGCCCCGTCAGGGCTCAGCCACCTCGCTGGCGGGGCCCGGGGTCCAGAGAGGAGACGAGGACACTTACGATGTCGGCCATGAGCGGGTCGTCCGGGTTGGGCTCTGCCATGAGCAGTTGGATGGAGGCCAGCACAGTGGCGATGCTGAGGGAGGGCCGCCAGGCGCCCTGCGCACACAGACAG